TTCATATATATATATATATATATTATTATATATATACATGTTTAAAAGAAATGGCTGACTCGGTTTTCACTATTTTAAAATAGTTTGCTCTTACGCTAACTCTGTCAAAGCAAACAAATGTATGGCATTTTTATATGAGTTATCTCCCTTTGGACCCCATTCACATTCGACCGCTTCTGTTAATGAACATGTGTATGTGTAGCGTGTAGATGTGTGTGTGTGCGTGTGTGTAGTAACGCTTAAGCGTTGTTATTTTTTGTTTGTTTGTTGTTTTCTTGTTTTGTTTTAGGGGGGCGGGGTGGGCACCAGAAAGAAATTTTAAAAAGGAATACATTAGAATGAAAAGAAAGAGGTATTTTCCAACCAGTGACGTCATTTGGAGGTAGTGCAAGGAGTGGCATTTGCCTGCCCTCTCTCCCTGAATTGGTAAGATTCCCCCCCCCCACTAGGTATCAATATCCAGGACGGCATGACATCATCGTAAGCAGAAAATAAATAAGGGGAAAATATATTCGGTAATTTGAATTTAACAGTGGAAAATATTAAACATCATCTGCCATTTTTTAAAATTTAAATTGATGTGTACCCTGGCGTCATTAGCAGCAAGCTATGTACTGGGGCATCATCAGTAGTAAGCTATGTACCCTGGCGTCATCAGTAGTAAGCTTTAAGCTATGTACTGTGACGTCATCAGTAGTAATCTATGTACTGTGACGTCTCCAGTACTAGGCCATGTACCCTGGCGTCATCAGTAATAATCTATATACTGTGGCACCTACAGTAGTAAGCTAGCTACTGTGACGTCATCACTAGTAAGCTAGTTACAGTGACGTCATCAGTAGTAACCTAGTTACTGTGGCGCCAATAGTAATAAGACTTAGGACCGCCCAGTATGAGCCAAGCTTTTACCCACCCCTTTCCACACAAAAAAATATTGCCTAAAATGCAGCCCCTCAGTATTAAGGGCCCCTATCCTCCCCCCCCCCCCCCCCCCCCCCCCCCCCCCCCCCCCCCCCCCCCCCCCCCCCACCCGCCCCCCCCGACGGGTTAAACTACCCACTGTTGCTATTACGCCACTGAAATTGGGTCTTTCTTAACGGTGACCTGGACAATGACCTGACTTGCCTTTTTGGCTGGCTCGGCTTCGTGGAACACCCTGGCAGCCAGATTGACGAAATCCTGGACTAGGCAGACAACTTGATCAACAGCCAGGCCGTCCGTGTCGGTTTTACCGTAAAAACCTGAAATGTGTAAACTCAATAATGTTAACTCTTTCAAACTCGTTTAAACACAACACATCGCTAAAGAGAGAGGGAGAGAGAGAGAGAGAAAGCGAAGGATAAGCCAAGCATGAAAATTTGAAATTAGTGTATATTTGTTAGGTAATTACTACTACTGTAAAGGAAATGTGAGGATCTGGGATGATTTTTAATGTGCAGGCCAAAACGGGAAAAAAAAGATTATCGGATAGCGTCCCTTATTATCTTTGTGATATCAAACAGGGCAAACTTTACTCCCAATCCCTTCCCATTTCAACTGGAGATAAGCCCCAAGGCCCATCAGATGTTTCCATTAGGGCACTGATTTCCTGCACTGACACACCAGCAAGAGTTAGAAGAAAAAAAATCTTAAGAATTGAGAGCGAATGTGGCGTCTGTACGAAAATAAATAGAAAGAAAATTAAATAAAAGGACATTCACTATTGCTTGGCTATAACCAAGAAAAAGGGCGGAACACATCTTGCTGTACTGATTACTTTTATACGGACATATCAGCCGCCTTTTTCTTTTATGTTATTTTTTTTATATTTTTTTTTAAAAGCTTAAAAACGCGCCATTGGTTTGTGATGCGTTATAATATCCATGGATGCTAATGTGTTACACTACAGGTGAGTTCCTAACTGCTGAAGTACTGGCGGCCCATTCACCTACCGAACCTCCTGGCCAAGAAGTTACTCAAAGCCACACTCTGGGCATAAACCTTGCCGTCCACCTCCAGAAGGGGCAGCTGTCCAAATGGCGTGCCTGGGCAGACAAAGTTACAGTCTGTTACATACTGATTTTAACAATTGTTCTTGAGAACTAGTATGCTTCAAAATGCATGATGGATTATCTTTAAGGAACGGGAATTATGTTTTAGAATGCATGATGGATTATCTTTAAGGAACGGGAATTATGCTTCAAAATGCATGATGGATTATCTTTAAGGAACGGGAATTATGTTTTAGAATGCATGATGGATTATCTTTAAGGAACGGGAATTATGCTTCAAAATGCATGATGGATTATCTTTAAGGAACGGGAATTATGTTTTAGAATGCATGATGGATTATCTTTAAGGAACGGGAATTATGTTTTAAAATGCATGATGGATTATTTTTAAGGAACGGGAATTAGGTTTTAGAATGCATGATGGATTATCTTTAAGGAACGGGAATTATGCTTCAAAATGCATGATGGATTATCTTTAAGGAACGGGAATTATGTTTTAAAATGCATGATGGATTATCTTTAAGGAACGGGAATTATGTTGTTATATTAATAGTTAATGTAAACATATAAACTTAATGGCATCAATGTTATGAACGGAAAATAAAGTATATTTATACAAAAAAAAAATTACTGTTCTTCAATACTGGCCATTCCTCCCTTTTTATCCGGATGTCCTCAAACTCCTGGCCAGCCAAGGCGAAGAGCAGGCGACATATCTCAGCGCGACCTCTGGCGTCAAAGTAAGTTAGCTTGTATGATGGCATTGTAGTTGGCACGGTCCTCCGGATGAGATGAGGTGTCGTAGGCAGGGCCGTCAGCAGAAGATGAGCTGTGGTAGGCAGGGCCGTCTACGGAAAAAAAACTGTGGTAGGCAGGGCCGTCTACTGGAGATACGCTGTGTTAGGCAGGGCCGTCAACGGGAGATAAGTTGCGGTAGGCAGTGCTGTCTACGGGAGATAAGTTGTGTTAGAGACTAGACTATCCAAGTCAGTGAGAGTTGATCAGTCCACTGACTTCCCAAATTACCAACTTAGTATTTCAAAGATATAAACTGTCGTATCTTTTATTGACATTGTTATTGAATATTTAAAAAAAGGGGTGGGTGGATAATTGAAGTGACAATTTTTACCTCACTCCCTCCACCCCTGTCACAATCTGTCACAAAGTTCAGATCCACCCCCACCCCAATTAAAGTATGTCAAACTTTTGAGCTGAAGATATTGTTTCAATAATTAAAATTTAATCTCAATCACACCTCGCTATTAAACTAATGAATGTATAAAAGTGACGTCATCTGTCAGAATACATCCAACATAGCAGAAAGTTCAAGGTCACCTTCATTTTCCAGTTTTACTTGCGTGTTAAAAAAAAGAACTATAGTGTGACGTCACACATGATCTCAGCGCCCCTTTCCCTCCACTAAATTCCCGTATCACAAACTGTCACACTTTCTTAACCCCACCCCCCTCTCCCACTCTCCTGAGCGTGACGTACTTAATGGACGGCCCCTAAGACGGTTTCGGTCTCAGTTTCGTATTTATTTTATAAGGTCTAGCTAGACCAGCGGTTCTCAAACTGTGGGTCTTGAACCCTTGGAAGGGGGGGGGTGGAGGGCGGGGCGTAAGACCATTGGGTTTATTTATGCTCCGCAGTTATATTGTAGCAACGAAAATAAATTTACCGTTGGGGGTCAACACAAATCTGAGCAACTGAATTAAAGGGCGTGGCCCTTTAAGGTTGAGAACCACGGGGTCTGGGCAGTGGTGATCAGTATTTCTATTGTTCGTCCTTTTTAAAATAAAAAACGAGGACATGATGTGCAGGAACGTCCACTCACTTCAACACAACACACGGCGCCCCAACATTATCTAAGCACGGTCCTGGTAAACGGCTCTCTGGTATCCTCTTAAAAGTTTGGTGGATGGAGATTCTGGGGGGTTGCAGGTCCGCCCCTGTCAGAAATATTTACGTCGTGGCGCGACCATTAAGATTACATCCACTTTTTCAAACAAATGGAGCTTCGTCGTGAGGTCTCCTCAACGAAGCGCGGCTCCTAGCCACGACCCTACAATACCTTTACCTTCAACCGGCGCGGTTAGGGGGCTGGGGTGAGGAAGGGGGGGGGGGCGAGGAGCTTCGTCGTGAGGTCTCCTCAACGAAGCGCGGCTCCTAGCCACGACCCTACAATACCTTTACCTTCAACCGGCGCGGTTAGGGGGCTGGGGTGAGGAAGGGGGGGGGGGGCGACTAACGGGAGTGAAGACACAGTGGCGTAGAAAAGGGTCGGAGGTGGTGGTTCGTCCTGGGGGAAATTTTTGTGTTTCGTTTATGTTTTTTAGTGTATGTGTACGAGCGGCATTTTCACCAATTGCAAAAGGGAAAGGGGGGGGGGGCACTTATTCTAGCTACGCCACTGGGCGCACATATTTCTATATTATAATGCTTGAGGTTCCTTGATAACTTGATATGTTAAAATTTACAATGTCTGGGTGTTGTACTGTCATTATACATATAACAGTGTTGAAAATAGAGCACGATATGTCGAACTTACAGTATGCGAAATTTACATAGCTAAAAAATAAACAAATCGAAAATATACTTTATTTTCAAAACTATGTCTTATATCTTTAGATTTAAATTTTGTTGTATTGTGTTTATACTGGGTGGTGTGGTAGAAAGCAATGTTATATAACAATTTATTGTGTTTATACTGGGTGGTGTGGTAGAAAGCAATGTTATATAACAATGTATTGTGTTTATACTGGGTGGTGTGGTAGAAAGCAATGTTATATAACAATTTATTGTGTTTATACTGGGTGGTGTGGTAGAAAGCAATGTTATATAAAAATGTATTGTGTTTATACTGGGTGGTGTGGTAGAAAGCAATGTTATATAACAATTTATTGTGTTTATACTGGGTAGTGTGGTAGAAAGCAATGTTATATAACAATTTATTGTGTTTATACTGGGTGGTGTGGTAGAAAGCAATGTTATATAACAATTTGTTGTGTTTATACTGGGTGGTGTGGTAGAAAGCAATGTTATATAACAATTTATTGTGTTTATACTCGGTAGTGTTGTAGAAAGCAATGTTATATAACAATGTATTGTGTTTATACTGGGTAGTGTGGTAGAAAGCAATGTTATATAAAAATTTATTTCCCTTTCTTTATAAAAACTATTCCTATTTTTTAGCAAAATTTCTGCTTCTTCCATTTTGTTATATTGTGGTATATGAGCTGTGGGCGGTAGAAAGCCATGTTGTATTTACGATTATAGCCTATAGTATTTATGAATCAAAAATCATTTTAAATTTTTTTTGAGGATCATATGTTTAGCAATGCGGACCATAGTACAGAATGACAAGTTTGCTCTGCCGAATTTCCAGAGAGGTGACATGGTTGAACTACTTCGGCGCAAGCTGTTGTTTGAGGAAATCACGAATAATTTTAACTCCTCTGGCCGCCACTCGCCATGGTGACGAATCAAGCAAAATTGGCAACCACCATATAGTAAGCACGTTATATATATAATATGACGACAACAGAGAATTGGTATCCGTTTATGTCTGAAATAAAATTAACTGCTTATTCACAAATATGCTTCGATTTGGTAGACATTTATTTAGCTTACTCATCGATCACTTACCCCTCAACTTGTCAACGGTGTGCTTTAAGACCTAACACTAACAGTGACTCTTAAACGCGATTCTCCGAGACAGTACGCTTTTCAAACAAATGGCTTGTCCAGGAGGTTCCGGTTAAGTCATTCAACTGAATTATATGGGCCAACATGTGCAAAGGGCACAACCCCCCCCCCCTGTTTTAAATATATTTTTCTTCTTCTTTTTCGCTTTCCGGATAACTGGGTCAGGCCAACAGGTAGTTGAATGTGTGGGCGTGAAGGTGTGTGTTTGCTGTCACCTGACTGCTGGTATTTTGGGCTCGTCGTTAGGGCGTCAAATGGACGGGTGGGGGGGGGGGGGTAATTTTTAACAAATCGGTTTGCGGGGGTAAAGTCACGGTGATGTAGAAAAAGCACGTGTTGAAAAAAATAAATAAAAAAAAAAAATGATTCTTTTAAACAACCGTTTCAATAAAAAA